AAATCTTTAAATAAATAATGGTGCATTATCACACGAAACACACATTCCATCTGCTTCCTATTAAAACATCAAATTAGTCAATCAAAACATCATGATTCAATTATTGCAGTATTTACGGAATCGAAGAAGTATTATTATATTTCTTCAGATCTATTGTTTGTTTTTGCTTTCGCTTAGTTTTTTCTAAATGCTTATTTTTGATTTCAATCGTTGCAATTTAATTGTTTTTTCTGTATTGTTTCGATGTGATGATGCAGCGTTCGATTATGATTATATCTAATAAAAAATAAAAGTTGACCAACAAAAAAGTATGTTGATTTTTTTTTGTTCAATAAGTGCTAAAGAATTGAAAAACAAAAGCTTTTCAGTGCAATTCTATGTGGTTAAAGTACAGAACTGATATATATCATATAGAGTGAACGATAATTGGCTTTAAAGATGTTTTCAATGGAATAATATATAACTAGTTTTGTAGCTAAAATAGAATGTAACTCAATATTTTTTAAATATTTTGAGAACGAATGTAACTAACAATCTTCTTTTTTCACCATTCAAGAGATTAGTGTGAGAGAAGTGAAAGTGTGTTGAATTATATCAATTATATATTAGTCATGATAGTGAGTTTTTGATGTAGATTTTGATCAGAAGGGGTGTGGGTGTGGGTATGAGGTGTCAGTGTTGTTTTCACACTCTCACACCCACCCACCCACCCCACCCTCAATGTTTTTTTGTTTTATTTTTCTGTCTTTTATTATGTAGTTTATATTTTCCGTTGTAAAGAATCCAAAAAAAAAGAAATGTATTTAAATATAAAGAGAAAGAATTTAGTTAAATAGTGTTTTAAATATATATTTGAAATTCCATTTGATTTAATTTTCTATTACGGTTAGTATCGGTAGCGGTAAGATTAGCATCACCGACGTGAAATCTACCCTGGGCTGCATTAACACTGCCAGCTGAAGCACTAGCACCAATAAATTTTGATACTGATGATGAATAACTTGTATCACCAAGATTAATAGCTTCTCTACCAGCATTTAGTTGAATTCCTTCACTACTAGTTGCACCTGATGATGAAAAAGCTCGATTGATTATTCTATTTGACCGATCAAAATCAACAGTATTTCTGCGTGCATTTGTATTTATTGAAGATGCTCGTACCTGAAGTGACTACAATGCAAAATTTATATAGCTTTTTCTGGAGGTAATTTTTTTCTTTTGAAAAAAATTTACTATATCTTCAACAACACCAGCGTTACGAGCTTGTTGAACCAGCGTTGCTGAATCTAAAAGTGGTGTCCCATAACGAGTTACATAATCGTTAGGATTTTCTTTGGGAACACAAAGTTTTTCGAATTTTCGGACTATATGCATTGGAACAACTTCATAACCAGCAACAGTATAAGATGGTTGTAGATACTTTATAGTAAAACGAGCGCGTTGAATAATCGTGCGGCGTTGAGTTTGCGGTTCATAAGGAATCCATCGTTCAATTATAATATTGTCTAAATAGCAAAAAACCAACAATCTTAAATAGAAAAAACAAAACGAAAACTGAAGATAATTCTTGTACGAGACTTTTCTGGAAGAGGTTGAAAATATTTGATGACAATTGATGGTGGTGAAACAGATATAGCAGGTAAACAATGAGTAACTGCAAAATAAAATACATTGATCGATCTCATCTATATAATTTAAATTCCTTTTTTTTAAACCTGTTTCACTGGGAATATATGCCGGTGGTGTTGGTGGCCTTTCACGTAAGATAAGTGGAGGTAGTGCAGGAAGAGGTGGTGCATGTTGGCGTATGATAATTGGTGGAGGTGGTGGTGGTTGTTCTGGACGTACTTCTTTAATAATGAGTGGCTAAAACCATACAAAGATTAGTAAAATTGAATTCGTAAACAATTTGTTTCATTACTCCTGGTGATGGAACAGCTGGTGGTTGAAGATATCGAACAAAAACTCGTTGTTCATGTGACACTGGAGCTTCAGTTGTTGCTCGTCGAATAATTTGTGGATTAGGATCCTTATAAATATTATTAGCTAATTTTTCAAGATATTGATTCGTTTCTTCTAAACTATTTGTATGAATCACTGCATCATTAATCGACCGACTAGCTGCTGCTGTAGTAGTTCCATATGGAGTATATTTATCAGTCGTAAAATCCCAAGCATTTTGAGAACTAACTTTATATTTATATTGATCAAATCGACTACTAGTATTATCATTAAGATTAAGCCCATTAGTTGATGATTCATATGATGAAGAAGTCAATCCTTCAACATTGGAAATCCAATTATAAAATTCATTTTTATTAATACTGAATATGTATATATATGTATTTATAATTTGATTTCAACTCTTAATCTATACCTTTCGTCTCGATTCCTATCAGCTTGTGCAAATATAGCTTTAGCTGTATCAAAGCTTGCCATTACTTCAAATCGACAAAGTAGAAATAAATTCTTGAAATAAAAAAAACTAATAGTCATTAATTTATATATCTATCATAAAAATATCAAACGTTTATTTTATAACATGAAGCGTATCCTTGTTCATATTATTTTTAATTTGTTGATAAAAAAAATAGAAATATTAATGAAACATCAAAATGTATAAGTCGTTGTTGCGTCATTCTTATAAATAGATGATGTTCCAAAGATCACACTACACTCTAAAAGTCTTAGATTTCTTCGTCATCGTTTAACCAAATAGGTTGATTTTTTCATCACTGATAAGGAAGTATTTCTAGTTTAAATTCATAAGAGAAGCATTGTCAAAAGTTGTTTGGAACTATTTAGAATTGACTTTAACAAAGAACTGTAATCTTTCACGATCTATGAAAATAACAAGAGACTTGCTTCCTTCATTGAAAATAAACGACATATAATTTTTTTCAATACATTCTCTACATCATTGCCGTTTGGTCTCATACTTATACTATAGAGACATATCTTTTTATTCAGTATATCCTGTAAGTTTTAGTCGTAAACGATAAGAATTTATTGACAAAACTGCAATATGGGTTTTTCATGATTCCTGAAAGGTTACAGTTCTTTGGTAAAGCCAATTATAAATAGTTTAAAAGAACTTTTGACAATTTTTCTCTTATGAACTTGAACTAGGAATATTCCTTTATTAGTAATGAAAAAGTCAGCCTATTTGGTTACATGATAGCAGAGAAGAAGAAGAACTCTTCATTAAATCAAATGAAGGAAAATTAGTCCATTAAGAATTCAAAAAGAAGGATTTGAAATTAGCAAAACCATTAGTTTAACATTATTTTTTATTATTTAAAATAGCGTGGCTATTTCTTATATCATACATCAAACTAACCGATGCAGTTTGTGTTTCATTTTAAAGGTGAATAAATGAATGTTTAAAAAAAAGTTTGTCACTGCAGTCCGTTTGAGACTGAAATGCAGTACTCATATATGTTCCTCAGCTTCATTATACTAATTCGAAAGAGAGAATATGTAAAATCAAGAATTTTTTCATTGTTTTATTCTGACAGGTCCCCTTATTTTTCGCTTTCTTAATTTAATATTTATATTATTATAAGCATCGCATTAAATAGCAGATAAGACTGTCATATATATATATATATTAAGGTCTGTAATAGTGTCAGTTTCACAAAAGGTTTTTTCAACTAGTCTTTTGATACTTATGGCAATTAAATAGACTATTCGAACTATTTCAAGCGAAACAGAGCACACTTATCTTTCATTTGACTTTGATTCTTTACAAGGGTTATTTTTTTGAATCAATGTTTTAATATTTTCATGTGTGACAACTCAGGCAGACACGTTATTGACCAAAACGATGTTTGAACATGTCACGTGGTAAACTGTTTAAAACGTTTGACTAGTCGCCAAAAACGCGTTAAAACAGTTCAAGATTAATATTTTGTGGAACTGACATATGTTTTCAAAGAAAATAATGAGTATAAGTTTTAAGTCGAAATTTACCAGCTCTCAATCCTACTCCCCCCTCCCCTTCCAATATTCGGAAATTTCGTTTTTTTACTCGATAATTTACAACATTTTTTAAGAAACTTTTAAAAATTTTTTGGAAAATTTTTCAAAAAACGTCGATTCTCCAACTTTTATCATTTCGAAACATATCTGATGGTTAAATATTATAGTCAATGGATATATGTGAGATTCATATTTCAATTCCAAAGGAGCTGCGCTAACAAGCTTTTTTTAACGTGTTCTGAATGTTAGAACGCTGAGTGAAATTGAAACTTTTATCATTTTAATGCATTGTTGGGACGACATGTCCCACAGGTTCGTACACAGAAATGTTTTTTCGAATAACTTCGTTATCAATTGGTTTCTATCAACTGACTCTTCTCGTATGATAGGTGACAAGGTTATGTTTTTTATTTCTATAGACAAACTATTAAAGTACTCTTCAAAGTAATTACCTTCAGCAAAATACAAAAATTCAACATTGTTTTGGTGCTATTATAATACTTCGCAATGTTGATATTTTGAAATAAAACCTTGATGGTGTTACTTATCATACGCAAACAAATCAGCTGATAAAGTTCTATGAATAGTGAAGTTATGTGAAAAATATTTTTGAGTGGGAACATTTGGGATATTCTGTAAATATTTCGTATCGACTCCTGAAAAGCAATCAGTCCAAAATGATTTATAGTAACGTACGATGCAAAAGTAATGCCACAAATATCAATTCTTATTTCTCTTCGTTAGATAGATACGGAAAGAAACCTACTTAGCCACAAGATAGAGCTTTTTCTCCTGTCCCGAATCGTATATAACAAATTTTTATGACGTGTTCACAGATGAAACAAAGCAACAGAAAAGAGAAGCATCCACACTTTTGTGAGATCCAGAAAAACGGCGCAAAAGATCGGTCCTATATCTGTTCGATAAATAGGTTCTGAACAGAATATTTTTGTATCACTTAATAGGAAATTTTCTTCTCTTTCAAACAGTATTTGACTTATATTTGTCACACATTCATAAATGAGATGCTAGAAAAAAGAGAACGAATCGCAGAATAAATTTGTAATTTTCACATGAAATGGTCAAATCTGTGGACCCATTAATAAGATCTTGTAAAACAGCAGTTTATTATAATTAACTATCACTTACCAGATGTTTTTGACGAGTTCATATAAAAATTACAAATTTTTTCCGTGAGTGCTTCTTTTTCTCGTCCCGCTTCATTTATCAATGGATGACATATATGAATCATATACCGTTCAATTACATCTTCTTTGGCTTAATTATAGTAATACAAAGTACAAAAATTATAAAATCGATAATTTTTTTTCATTTTCTGACGGACGTTCTCTATTTTTCGTTTTCATTGTTGCTGTTCGCTCATTATTTTTCATTTTATCTTATTTTTCTTAATTTAACATTTGTATTATTATAAGCATTCAACTAAATGACAAATAAAATTGTGATATATCACCATTATATAATGCTCGTTGCTAAGGTCTGTAATAGGGCAGTCTATGACGATGGGAAGGGTGCACAGTGGACAGAAAAAGGGAACCAGGAGAAATCCTTGCAATTGATATAGCTACTAACTTGATATTTTGTATAATTATACTTCTCAGTTGATGTTGATTATCTGTACCTGTTTAGCTTCTTTTACTCATAAAATTTCTGAACAATAGGTTTTTTACTGAGTTTTTCAACAAAATTCCGTCCTTTCCCTCAGGTGACGTTGAAACTTTTCACAAATAATGTTTTCAATGGAAATAGTATATTGTGAAAGTTTTAGCCTTTTTCATTGCTTCTGTCATGAGATACGAATATTCAAAATTCTGTTGTATGAGAAGGCAAATTTTGTGCTTTTATGAGTATATTACTACAGAAGTAACGAAGGAGACGGAAACTTTCACAATGAACTAGTTTCATTAAAAGAATTATTCGTGTCAAGCTTTATGTTAAAAATAAAAATTCAACTTTAAACGTGACCTGAGGGAAAGTACGAAGTTCTGTTAAAAAATTCAGTAAAAATTCAATATCATAAGAAGGAAGGCCTGGAAAACCAAAACTTAGTATCGGAAGATGCTTCCTTATGAATTCTCAAGGTTTTCCTCTGAAGAACCCTAAGTTAGAAACTATCGATGAACTATGTTTAGAACCACACAATCGTTGTAGTAGTTTAAACATTCAAGTATTTGAGCTTCTATTGTCTATTGGAAACCTAATCGATCTAAAAGATAAGTATTTATTATACAAATCCCTCGGAACAAATCTGCATAACAGGTTATATTTGCGACATCGGATCTCAGTAAAGAAGTGCACATCATTGCGCATCCACCTAAGATGGATGATGACAGGCTCTATAAAATAGTAAATTCAAATTCAAATAGAAGTCTCGATCACATCCAGTGAACAAATTGCATTATTAACTAATCGTTATTTTTTTTTGGTGCATTACGGCCAGGTTTTTGGTCCTGTTAGAGTAGACGGAACTTCAGACGGTTCGAAAGACCTGTACTATATAGTAAATATATAACGCTAGATAATTCACCTATTTCACTTACATTGTGCCAGCTGCTGCAAGACAGTCACTCGCTTGCGATCAAAATTCAAGATGCAGTTGAATGCAAGACCATAGTAGCTTTAATGCTAGCTACGATATAGGTTCAGATCTCACAAATCGATTTTGTCGTCTGACTGCCTACTGTGGGGATGGGAACAGCTACGAAAACTTCAATCTAAACTTACTCTCACTATTCTCCTCGAAAATATATGCGAGTTTCACAAAATATTGTTTTTAGAACTGGTTTATCGACATTTAAAGTGGTCCTTTTATGGAGATGTGCAGATTCTTCTTAAAAGTGCTTCTCTATTCTGTTGCGTCGTTTCGTTTATAAATGTATTATAAAAATAAGTTATACATGCGTCGAAAGAGGAAAAAAGGCTCTATCTTTTGGTAAAAAAAAATGTATGTTCGGTACCCTTTTATTGAAGAAAAACAGGAATCACCATTTGCGCCATTACTTTTGTATCGTACGTTAATTTCAAGGACAACATGGCCTTCTCAGACTATGAAACAATTTCTACTAATTCTCTCGTAAATCAAAGCCTATCTGCCTTTATTCTATCTACCTTTCTACGTTGGATATTCTTTTTTTTTTGAAGAGTGTCAATATGAATTCCTTCTGTCTCAAATATTAGGTTGTTAAATTGGCAAATATCATTTACAATGGGTGATTACATAACAACGCAGCAATAAATATTCTGTGATTAAAAGATTTAATGTCTGTTCTTTTTATATTAAGAAACTCAAGTTTCCTATTTCAAATAACTGACGACCTTCATTTGAATTGATAAATATTTAAATTATCAGATCAAATCAAGGACTGACTAGAGCGAATGAGAGACGTGCAATCATCTAGGAGGTTTTTAATACTTACAAAATATCTACAATCTATATT